TTTCTTTTAATCATTCTACCTTTTTTTAAATTAAGCATTCATTTGGAATCTGGCATTCTTTAAATCTATGCAAATGCATATATAAATCATTTTAAAACAGCTGTCTTGGAGTGAGGACTACTAACTACATATAAGAAAGGAGACACATTTGCTGCAAGCAAGCAGCAAAAAATGTATTTTGCATTCAGCATTCAAAATAATTTGGCTTATTGGCAGATGGCCCAGAACCCTTCAAAGATAAATACACAGAGGATTCTAGTTACTTGCTGACATTGCCTTGTCAATCTGGAAGACATCAGATTCCTTTGTCTGATTTTGGTTTAGACTGGGGAAAGATATTAATGACAAATAGATGAGATGGTTCAGAACACTGGGGATTCACAGGAAGGCTTAATGTTCAGCGTGTAACTTGTTCCATTGTCACAGTGTGTGTTGGAAAAACACTACAGTGTGATATTCCTTTATTTTCCTAACCCTTGTTTTAAAAAGCATAACCCAGTGGCAGCAGCAAATTTGTTTAACCTGTAAATCTTTCATAGTGTGCTAATCTTACATCAACAGTGCCCCAACTGACTCAATTATTCCTTCAATAGCATTTTGTTAAGTTTTGCGTGCTGTGGCATAATATAATCTACAGAATGAAAAGTATGTTTCTCTAAGGATGAATGAATCTTTAGGAGTGAAGTCTAAAAGTCGATGCATTCAAATCCTACTGGTTTGAGTGTACATTTAATCACATGTACACTTTTCCTTTCTGAAAGCATCTTTTCCTTATAAGTAGGCTTGTTCTTACAATCAGAATAACAGAATAACAGAGTTGGAAGGGACCTTGGAGGTCTTCTAGTCCAACCCCCTGCATAAGCAGGAAATCCTATACCATTCCAGACAAGTGGCTGTCCATTCTCTTCTTAAAAATCTCCAGTGATGGAGCACCCGCAACTTCTGAAGGCAAAACGTTCCACTGGTTAATTGTTCTCATTGTCAAGTGTACAATGGTACAATCATATGAATGTTTTTCTTTCTTCTCAGTTCTCCAATGCATCCTAATTGGCATCTAAAAGGATAAACTGATTCCGTTGATAGTACTTCACTTAAGATAATCTGAATATTCTGTTTCTGATGTTTGACCTATAATGATTCATTTTCATACATGCGTTATATTATATGATCGTAGTTTTTTCTGATGCCTTCATCTGAACCCTTCCTATATCTTGATTTTTTAAAAAAAAATTCATCAACCCACAAAAGGTTCCCCATCCCTATTTTCTTTTGCTTATATCTTCCTGTTGGTTCTTTGTGGAGATATGAAAAACAATAAATACAACAGATTTGTTTTGACTACTATGTCAACATTGTTCTTCCCCTTTCTCAATTCAAGAACATGTTGTATAGCTGGGGATATTTTTCTAGCCTTGAAAAGTCAGACTGCCACACTGTGTGACTTACATATGTCTAAAAATCCCTCAGAGGCAACTACTTATCATACTGAATGCATGAATAAGCTTCACTTTGATAGAAACATGAGGAAAGACCTATTTACTCGGAATGACCTTAAATCTCCAGGGCCTACTGTAAGGTAGGAAAGGAACTAGTTGATGGTCATGTTAAACCCTTATATATTATCTTTGGGGAAATCTGAGAGAACTGAGAAAGTGCCAGATGACTGAAGGAGAGCTAATATTGTTGCAATCTTTTTAAAAAAAAAAAAAATGAGAAAATGAGTGTCTAGGGAACTGCAGACCAGGCTGGTCTGAAAATTCTCAACCAGTGTATAAAGAGACAGACCTGTAAGCATTTGTTCTTATATATTCATTATTATTAGCAATATCAATAGCACTTAGACTTATATACTGCTTCACAGTGCTTTACAGCCCTCTCTAAGTGGTATACAGAATCAGCATATTGCCCCCAATAATCTGGGTCCTCATTTTACTGACCTCAGAAGGATGGAAAGCTGAGTCAACCTTAAGCCAGCGAGAATCAAACTGCCAAATTACAGTCAGCTGGTAGTCAACAGAAGTACTGCATTCTAAGCACTGTGCCACCATGTCTTATTAAATAAAAATAATCTTCTTATTATTTGTTCTCTAAGAAGAGAGGGTCAACTTATTTTCCAAAGCACCAGAAGGCAAGACAAGAAACAATGAATGGAAATTAATCAAGGAGAGAACCAACCTACAGTTAAGGAGAAATTTCCTAATAGTGAGAACAATTAATCAGTGGAATGGCTTGCCTTCAGAAGTTGTGGGTGCTCCAACACTGGAAGTTTTTAAGAAGAGACTGGATAGCCATTTGCCTGAAATGGTATGCTCAGTCTTCTGCCTGAGCAGTGGGTTGGACTAGGAGACCTCCAAGGTCCCTTCCAACTCTATTAGGCTGTAAATCATTTTAAAAGTAAGATGGTAATTAACAGAATTCAGGATAGATTTGTGAAAAATGAATCTTGCCACACTAAGATTACCTCATTTTCATGATTGGGTTATAATGACAATCACAATTAGTAGAGTGTGGAAATGTTACAGACATAATGTACTCTGATTTCAACCAAACCAAATACATCATGATATTCTGATTAGCAGGCTAGTTAAGTACTGGTTCAATGACACAACAATTAAATGGATAATTGGCTGAAATAAAAATAATATTCGGCATGTTCATCAGTTTTCCTCATCAAATTTGAGTTAGATGCTGAGTGGTTTTAGATTTTGGCCCTGTATTTTTACACATTTTTATTAATGACTTAGATGAAAAGATTGGGAGGCCTTGCTCACAGTCACACATACCTTTGTCACCTCATTTCTATTTCTGCAATATGCTCTACATGGGGCCACCCTTGAAGACCTTCCAAAAGCTGCAACGGGTTCAGTATGCAGTGGCATGCAGTTTTGATACCCATGTTTCATCCGAGTAACACCATTGCTATGGAGGCAGTACTAGCTTCCAGTTGCTTTCCAGGGGCAATTCAAGGCACAGGTTACCCATATACTACCCAAACTGTTCATCATCTATAAAGCCCTTCATGGCATATGGCATGTTATTTGAGAGACTACCTGTATCCAATTGTTAATGCCTATGCATACTACATGCAGTGTGGTCAGACAGAGTGGAAGCAGTATCACCTTTGCTCCAGCTTCTGCTGGGGGGGACATGAAAGGAATCCCCAACTAGATGTCCCTTGGGCAATGGTGACATCACCGGCTAATGCTTTCAATCCAGAAGCCCCTCGGTGTTTCCAACACAGGTGCAATGTGAATATCAACAACACTGATGCAATGTCATCTTGTGGGATCAAGGAAGAAAGCCTTGTCTGTCACAATATCTGTTTTTTGGAATGACATTCCTCCAGAGATCTGTATCACTCTCACCCTAATGACATTCAGGAAACTCTTAAAGACCTGGCTATTTTCTTAAGCTTTAAATCAGAGTAAAGGACATGCCCCGTTGAAGAGGTTGTTGCTTTTTCTGGCCAGGTTGTTGGGCATTGGGCAGCCTATGATAGCGTAATGTAATGTAATGTAATTTAATGTAATGTACCAAGCTTTCCAAGAAGATTCCACACCCATTTGCAATATTCAGGTGACCCTGAGAGCACAGATAAACCTCCAAGTGGCCTCAACAGCTCTCAGAAAGAGTGCTAATGACCAGATGACTGCAAGGGATATAAATCCTTCCATCCTCCACCATTCAGTCACAACTGAAGAAGCTTCTTGGATGAGAAGCGAAATGTATTCAAGGAAAAACAAAGTCCAGTTGCCTTTTGAAAAAGCACCTTTGGGACAACCATAAACTGGATGACTGAGAATCTCCATAGACTTGTAACATAACATAACGTAACGTAACGTAACGTAACGTAACGTAACGTAACATAATGTAACGTAACGTAACGTAATGTAATGTAATATAATGTAATGAATATAATAATATCAACATTATAACTTTATGAATTTTCAAGTTTTCCATATGATTGGATAGTGTTCAAAGATAGATAGAAATTGCAGGTAAAATCAACCAATCATATCTACCACATATGATGAACATATACAGTGTGTTCAGACCTCTTTACATTCTTTTTTCAAACCTTAAGTCCTCCAAAGCTTGCTGGCATTCCCTTTTTTTTGGCATAGGTAGCAGGTTTTTGGCCACATAGGCATTTGGAAAATGAGTTTGCCATTAAGAAACAGAGACACACATACAGACACACGTGCCCTCCAGAAAATAGAGGTGTGTATTGTGACTTTTATACTTACATATAAACACACACATGCAGTATGTACGTAGACATGCATGCATGTATATGTGTGCACATGCATGCACTCTCAATCAAAATGGTGAAAAGACAACTCACAATGCATCAAGAATCATAGAAGTTACCACTCTGAACAATAATGCATACTGTATATTACACTGGATGTTGAATTTCTCAAACCAATGTAGTACTGTAATAAGGAATAAGTATTTGCTGCAGGCAGAATAATTTTTTTTTAGTTTGTTCAACCGACTAAAGTGTCCTCTGAGGTATCCAGCTGCCTTGGGCTCATCTAATAAAATCTGGACATCGCTAACCCTTTTTCTAGTGAACAAATGCTTTAGGGCTTTATGTTAAAGCCAGTTGCTGCATATAAGACATGGATGTCCTAATTACCAGTAGTATATCTACCTACTCTTGTCCTCTGCAACCATCTTAATTATCTTGCTGCAGTATAAGAGGGAGATAATCACTTTTTTAAAAATAAAAAATCACACTACACTTAGAAGAACATCTGGCACCAGCACCTGTAAGAGCAGGTGGCTTTTATAGGCTGCAAATATCTCTCCAACATTCATTGTGTAGACTGGTTGTTAAGAATTTTAATTCTCACCGAACAAAGTATGGACTTATGCATAGTTGCTAAAATTTTACAGCATCCCACTGAGGATTTTAACCACGTCGGTCACAAAACTAATATCGTAGTGAACATCTTATTCTGCTGTGCATCCATCCAACCATTTTTGCTTCTTACCTTTCGACTTCCTCTCATAGAAACTTCTGCCTCGAGGTGGAGCGCTCTCTGTGTACAGGTGATCAAGATCTTCTTGCCACGTTTCTGGATTAAAGTGCTTGAGCAATTCCTCCACAGTATCAAACCCAGCAATGGTTTGATCTAGGGCTTCCACAGTAAGAGTGGGGTCAGTCACTGATGGAGAGCGATAGGAAATGCCCTAAGAATGACATACAGAGCAGTGTACTTTGAACATCATGTAGAAAAGAACAAAGAAATCAAAACTACCCTTTCCAGATTTAACAGCAACAACGAATTATAACATGACTGGAACTAAATATTACTGAAAACAAACCTTGTGTTCCCTAGGTTTATGTCTTTATTAAAAAAAACACCATTTATATATAATAATACACCCATCATTGTGTGGGGCTAAAGTGTTCAAAGGGGGTGTGGTGGCTCAGTGGCTAAAGACGTTGAACTTGTCAGCTGGAAAGCTGACAGCCCAGGTGAGGGGTGAGCTTCCATTACTTGCCCCAGCTGGTGCCCACCTAGCAGTTTGAAAGCATGAAAATGCGAGTAGATAAATAGGTACCACATCGGTGGGAAGGTAACAGCATTCTGTGTGCCTTTGGTGTATAGTCAGGCTGGCCCCATGACCACAGAAAGGGTCTTTGGGCAACACTGACTCCCTCAGCTAAGAAACGGAGATGAACACTGCCCCCTAAAGTTGGACTCGACTGGAAAGGGGAAACCTTTACCTTTTAAAGTGTACAAAGAATGATGCTTGTTCTTCTCAATCTTAGTGAGAAGTTCTGGGATGAAATTTGACTTACATTTGCTTGATGCAAATCACAGCTCTCAAATAAATCAGGTTCTTGCTAAGATACATACTTTGCTTGAAATACAACAAATGCCAGTACAGCTTCTCCTCTGGCTATACAGAACAAGTATAAATCTCCCAGCCGAATGCATAGAGGCTGGGAAGATCAAGGGACAGGACAGTAGTTGATAAAGGCAGATAATAAGGATGACCAACCTGTGATCTGCTTAAAAACCCCAGCATCCCAAGATTATGTTCATAGAATCTTGTGATAAAAGGGACCCAACTTAGCCATGACTTTTTTGTTTGTTTTTTTATTGAAAAGTTAAGTGACTGGTAAGCATGAAGCCTCTTAGAGGCAACTGCTACTTCCCACATGCTTATCTCCCAAAGGGCCTGATTTTGACCACAAAACAATTTTAGAGTTTGTCATGTTTGAGCAATTTGCCTCCCAGCAGTCTCTTGCTATTCTTCACACTCCCAGCCCCTAAAAGAAGTTTAAAATGTTCAGTTCCACCCTTTGTTGTGACAGCATGTTACCAAATAGCTTCCTGTGACTCATGAAAAGGTTGGGAGGCTAAGCTGCAGATCCCAAACATTGTCCATCACTGAAGCAATAACTGGTCCTGATTTCTAAATACCCTTTTCATAGCTACTGTAACTGGTTTTATTTATTGGGTTTTGTTTAGATCTTGGTAATGAAGAGTATATAATCAGAATAGCGCCTGTATATATAAAAAAGAAAATAATGAAGAAGGGGAGGAATGGAAGGAAAGAAAAAAGGACATGCTGTGGAGCTTTTCAATTCTAATATTTAGTTACAATGACATGTAGGAAATGGGAGATCACTCAACCTTTACCAAAAAGTGGGCTTTGAAGAAGAATTTATAGAAGAAATGGTCTTCTGGAAACATTCTCAAGAATAATTCCAAGCATAAGGATCAGAAAGGAAAAAAAATATGATTGTCAGAGGGTAAAAAAGACTCTAACATAGATGGATCAAATGGAGTGAATGTCCAAGACACATGTTTTGCAAGGGTTTTAAAAAAATAAGGAGAAGTTAAGAGGTATTTTAAGAAAAAGTTATGGTAGATGTGAAAAAGAATGTTGGAACAGGAATTGTAAGGAGACACGTTTTGTGGTCATGAAGTGCAATGTGCCTGATTTTTATTGCTGCAGTTGAGATAGAGGTGAGATGAGTTGAGATAATGGACCAGAGAGAAATTTGAAGACATCAAGGTGAGCAAAGAACAGTATTACTTTCCTTTTGTACAAAATCCTGGCATTTGTAAAAATAGATTTTTCAAAACACAATGTCCATATAGAAAAAGGAAGTTTTATTTTCTTGATACAGAGGTAAGGTGGGGACAAGTCAGGAGAACAATCTCATGCTCTAAAACAACTAAATAGCAGATTCTTATGAAAATCTAGTGGCTAAGGATAAAATAACAAGTTTGACTTTTTTTTTTTTTGCTGACAGTATGAACAATTTTAAAAAATATTTACATGTGCCCTATGGCCTAAGCACTGTATCTCAAGGATAAGCCAAAGAAAAATTATTTAACAGACCAAGAGTAAGACTTGTTGGATTACAAATCTCATTCTTTCCATTCAACAATTGATTGACTTGGGAAGAAATACTAGTGGCTCATTTTAAACAAATGTCAAACAAAAATGATGTTTTGTAGTTACCCAATGTATAAATGAACTCTAATGCTGGAATTAGAAAGTATTTTTTTTTAAAAAACCCATTGCAGTTTGTTCAATAAATGAACAGATTAAGTGTACATTCCTGAAGATAGCTTGCAGGGATATTCATGCTTTGGAAATGATTCAGAAGGAGTGTTTCAAACTGCAGAGGAGAACAAATTGCAGCATCTCTTTAAACTTGCAGTATCTTTTTCCAGTCTTTTCCAATATGGCTGATTTAAACAGCTGAGTCCTTAAATCAAGGGTCTTCAAACTTGGCCCTTTTATGACTTGTGGACTTCAACTCCCAGAATTCCTCAGCCAGCGTGTCTGGCTGAGGAATTCTGGGAGTTGAAGTCCACAAGTCATAAAAGGGCCAAGTTTGAAGACCCATGCCTAAAATCAACGATGTCTGTTTTCAGGCTGAACTCTGAAGAATGGTGCTTCTACCTTGCTGCATTGCAGGCTTCTACGTTCTTCTGAATCATTTTTGAATCATGACAAGCTTTAATTCTTACACAGATTATTGATGCCCTCTATTGTTCTGTAATAACATCCAAGCCAGTAACAAATGATTTCCTGAGCATCATTAATAATGAAAATTTGGACATGAAACTCATCTTTTCCTTGTGTCTTAGAGGCAAGTAAGAAGTGTGAGGTTCATTTGAGAACCTGCAGCAAATACACAGCAGTTTATCCAGATTAGCCTATTTATCCATCTACACACACTTAAAACTTTTGTGGCTTTCCCTAGTCTCCAGATGGTCTCCATGATGTGTAAGAATTTTGGGAACTACAGTTCTTAAGATACTTGATGGGTACCAAGTTTGAAGAAGCCTGATTTATTCTGAATAGCACTGGTTCCCTACATCTGATCAATACCTTTTATTTATCTGTTTAAACTGGGAACGCTAACGATGGCATCTGGGACTTTCTTCATGCAAAGCTGACTACATAATCTCATTCTTGTCATATCATGCTCTGTAATGCTATGTTTCCAAGGGAGCCAAATCAAATAACTAATATCTATTCTGAATAATCAGGATATTGCCAGAAAAAAAAACTTTTGACTGAAATGGTGGAGAAATTGATGATTGACTGATTCATTGAAAAATGTAAGCCAGATTTCATTACTATCAACAAACCCCAAAGCAGTATTACTAGTAGAAACGTCTCTGCTAGTAACACTGCCAGCATTATAGCGATCTGTTTGATACATCACATTAAGTGCCTAACACTGGTTTGCTGAACAAGCTGTAATCATTTCAATTCTCATAATGCACTAAGCCAAAATAAAACAAATTGTATAATAGCTTAGCAGAATGTTTAAATCCAATTTATCTCCTTGCTGTGGTTCTCAACTGAGTTCCAGTTACTTCTTCCTCTTTTCAAAAAATAAAAATAAAAATTAACACATTATTTACCAACACAGGGCTTGTGACTGATTCCCAGTTGGTTTCAGATGCAACAGGCTGAAGATCATCCTGAAGGCCAAAGAGAAACACACATACACAAATACACAAAAAATAATGTCATGTAGGTATTTTTTTTTTCTTTTCTGAAAGCATCAATTACACAGCTGATCCACCCTTCATATACCCTTACTGATCATCACTCTTAGTTTGTGTTAGGAATAAATTCAGGCATTTTATCTTCCAGTAAGGCAAACCTAGACAACATACCTCATTTTTATACCCAAAAAAAGTGCATAAATACAAGTAGCTCTTTAAAAAGGCTAATTTTGAGTAGAAAATTATGTGGCTCGGCTTAGAGTATTGCACCAAAATAGGAAAGTCTATATTTGTCATCTTTGTTCCTCTGACAGGAGTCATTGCCTAACAGCAGCTGCACGTACTGAATCTGGATGCGTTAAGCTATTATTAAAAGCACAGGAGCAGCCCCTCAGACAAAAGAGAAAAATAACATTCTCTTTGACTAAGGCAGAAATAGACAAAGGTGTTTCTGGTGCTTGAGACAGGACAGCTAAACAGCAGTTCACGGGGATGCCCAAATGGCTAAGCCAATTGAGTGGAAACAGGCATAAATTTAAAGTAGACAAAAGAACTCTGAATATGCCAGACAATAGAAGAAGGAAGATTATGATGGTGGGAAAGAACCAGTCAATCTGAGAGAAGGAAAAAAGGGAGAAAAAAGAACAAAAGAGAAAGAAATCAGAGAAAAAGAACAAAGAAGGAAGAAAAGGAAACAGCATTATTGCTATTTTCAAAAGCTACAGCTTCTGTAAAATCCAAAGGTAGAATCTATATTACAACTCATTTTTCTACCGAACAGCAAAATGATCCATTACATATCCATAACTGTTAGGTTAATGGTTGTTTTCTTTCAATCTGCTAGCAAAGTATTGAAGTTGATTTCTTTTCCCTTCACATCAAGTATTGCCAATTCACACAATTCTCTCACTGATCTATTATCTTAGTATAGAGGAGTGTTTCTTAACCTCAGCAATTTTAAGATATGTGGGTTCCAACTCTCAGAATTTCCCAGGATTTTTTTTTTGTTTAGTTCTATAATATCTTATGTAATCTCAAATGATGTTGTCCTTTCTTGTATCACAGAAAACTGTTATCCTTATACTATATTCTACTCTATGCATAAAACAAATTGAAGTGCTTCTTTTCCTTGGCCTCATGCTGAAAAGTTATGGGATAATTTGATTTTTTCCTCCCATACTGCCTCTCCCCAGTGTTGCACTTGAATTGCCCCTTAAATATCCCATTTTTTCCCAGAGAGTGTAGCTTCTGCTTACACAACACAGTGGCAATAAATAAATAAGTCCCTTTGCAATCATCATTGTTGCCTTGAAAACCAGTGTTGCCATGGTACCATGCAACTGCACAACATTTTCATCATTTGGAGCAAAAGCTGATCTGCCATGTTGGGTCCATTTCTGCATTCATCTGATAAGGTTATTTTCTTTTAAAAAAATCCTAAATTAAAATGAATTGAAATATTTTAAATATACTTTGAGAATATTTCTAAATTGATTGTCTCAAATTCACAGAAGGAAGAAACAGAGGGAGGGGAGATGATAGAATAGAATAGAATAGAATAGAATAGAATAGAATAGAATAGAATAGAATAGAATATGGAAGGAAACTTCGAGGCCTTCTAGTCCAGCCCCCTGCTCAAGCAGGAGAACCTATACCATCTCAGACAAAGGACTGTCTAGCTTCTTTTTTAAAATCTCCAGTGATGGATCACCCACGATTTCTGGGGACAAGCTATTCCACTGGTTAATTGTCCTCACTGTCAGGAAGTTTCTCCTTAAATCCAGGTTGCTTGATCAGTTTCCAACCATTGTTTCTTGTCCTGCCCTCTGGTGCTTTGATGAATAATGTGACCCCCTCTTCTTTGTGGCAGCCCCTCAAATACTGGAACACTGCTATCATGTCTCTCATATTTCTTTTTTCCTTTAGACTAGCCAAACCCAAGTCCTGCAGTCGTTCTTCATATGTTTTAGTCTTCAGGCTTTTGATCATCTTAGTTGCTCTACTCTGAATTTTTTTCCAAACTCTCAACATCTTTTGTGTAACATGGTGACCAAAATTGGTTGCAGTATTCCAGGTGTGGTCTTACTAGGGTTTTATAAAGCAGTACTAATACCTCATGTGATCTTGATTCTATGCCTCTCTTTATACAATCCAGGATTGTATTAGCTTTTTTGGCTGCTGCTGCACACTGCTGGCTCATGATTAAGGGATTGTCCACTAGGATTCCAAGGACCCTCTCACAGTTACTATTTTTAAGCCAGGTCTCATCCAATCTGTACTTGTACCTTTGATTTTTCCTGCCTAAAAGTAAGACTTTGCTTTTCTCCACATTAAAATTCATTTTGTTGGATAGGGTCCATTGTTCAAATTTGTCAAGATCTTTTTGGATCCTGAGTTTGTCTTCTGGGGTGTTCACTACTCCTGCCAGTTTGGTGTCATCTGCAAATTTGATGAGTTCCCCTTCAATGCCCTCATCTAAATCATTGATGAAGATATTGAAGAGTACTGGATCTAAGACGGAACCTTTTGGTAACCCACTGCTTACTTCTCTCCATGTGGATGTAGTGCTGTTGAGGACTACTCGTTGAGTACGGTTTGACAGCCAGCTACAGATCCATCTGGTGGTGATGTTGTCTATTCCACCTTTTTCTAGCTTACCAAGGAGTAGGTTGTAGTCTACTTTATCAAATGCCTTAATTCCTTTATTAGTGATGACTGGGTTAAGAATAATATGAAATGATGTACTTACTGGATGTCTATTAATTCTCCCTGTCATAGTTACTTGTCGTAATAGGAAGGGCAGTATGATATTCCAAAACCTTATCAAAAATATATGAAAGTTTTCATCTGCAATTACAATCAAGGACAGCCTGAGCTTATTTTTCTATTTATGGAAAGCAAACTGTGTTAAAGAGTAAGGGAAACTAATTCTGTGTTAAAGAGTAAGGGAAACAATTTTCTTTTTCCCATTCATCTTCAGAGCAGATTAAAGGGAGAAAAAAAAACCCTAACAGAATAAAGTATTGAAGGCATGTGTGGAAATGAAGATGGACCACAAACTGGGTGTTACAACTATCTTTCTATCAGCTTAGCTGGCTCAGGAATTCTGGGAATTGAAGTCCACGAGTCATAAAAGAGCCAAGGTTGACTATCCCTCGGATAGACTAAATCAGGAAACAGACTCCACTGGAAGGCTCAAACTATACTCTATTGAGTATATGCTCAACCTTTCTTCACCACGGACCCTCTTTAAATACCATGGTCCATGGACCATGGCCACAAACCCCCAAGACTTAACTCAAGATTTAAATCATAACATTCCTTCAAGCCTTCAAGGACCCTCTGTGACAATATTGTGGCCCCTGCAGGGGTCCGCAGATCACAGGTTGCTATATTAACAAAATCTTGCAAACTCACATAGTGATTTACCTCCCCTCCCTCTTCTATCTCAATGAATGAATGAAGAGTCTGCCTGTATCTCTTCTGGATGCTATATTGTTTAATTGATTGCATGTTAAGAATGTTTCACCCCTCTTAGCTCCTACAATGGTTCTTGCTTATTTACCTCAAAGTCATTTCCCTCTTTATCTACAGCTGAGCTACCTTCCCCAAGGATTAATATTGTGATGAATATTTATATTCTTAATATTGTGATTTAAAAAATAATATTTTCCCCATGAGTAAATGTTAGTTATTTCTGGGACAGTAGAAGCCATGTTAATGTTGTAGTTACAGTAGTGTTTTATGGATTATAATTTCAAGAGAAGCTGTAATTATTCAGGCTCTTTTTCTCTTTATAGAAAGAGTATGAATAAGCTATTTTTGTTATTGGTAATTACAGTATAAGTAGCATAGAGCATAAAATTGCAGCTGTAGTGGGGAGTATTAAAGTATTGTGTGTTTCACTACAGAACTCATATATAAGTCGATCAGAATCAGAATTGAGCTGTAAGGGACATTGAAGGTCTTCTAGTCCAGCCTCCTGCTCAAGCAGGAGACCCTATACCATTTCAGACAAATGGCTGTCCAGTCTCTTCTTAAAAACCTCCAGTGATGAAGCACCCACAACATCTGAAGGCAAGCTATTCCACTGGTTAATTGTCCTCACTGTTAGAAAGTTTCTCCTTAATTCCAGGTTGCTTTTCTCCTTGATTAGTTTCCATCTATTGTTTCTTGTCTTGCCATCTGATCCTTTGGAAAATAAGTTGACCCCCTCCTCCTTGTGGCAGCCTATCAAATACTGGAATACTGCTATCATGTCCTCCCTAGTCCTTCTTTTCTCTAGACTGAAGGGAAATTGTGGTTGTGAAACTGAAGGCCTTCTAGTGTGTTCTTCAACCCCTCCCCCCCAGCTGCCAACAATGTTGACAATGGAAGAATATCATTTTAAGGGGGAAAAAGGTGGAGGGATTAGAAAGATATGCTTTTTACGTAGAGATAGCCACTTCCTGCTCTAAACACAGCTCTTTTTCTCCTTGTCTGTGCCATACATGGCACTGCTACATCTCCATATATAAGAGTTTAGCAACTTTTTGATAGTTTAAGGGGCCCATTGGGTGATGTTGATATTTTCCAGAGAGCTGTATAAGTGAGGGCAAACCTCTTTACCTTTATAGAACTGAGTTCACTCATTTGAAACTTTACTTTACAATCCAGTTGTGCATTGCCTGCCTCAAATTGGCTGGAAGCTTGGCCATTGAATTTCTCTGGCATTCGCTGATAGGATGTTGAAGCCACCAGAAAGAGTTTGCTGATGGCCCTGGGATGCTAGACTGCCCTGGTTCTATATAAGGAGCTCAGCACCCAGAAACTCTGCACTTTTGCTATATGCAATGGTTGCTTAACTGAACTGTGTACAACTGTGCTAGGAAGTTTAATAGTCTTTAGCCTGGATAGATAGCAGTATCTTCCCCACACCCGCTGATTCTAAAATAGCTAAATATACTTGGACCTGGTTAAAATCTTAATGGGTA